GKKTTTTTTTTTTTTTAAGRAAGGCAGCTGAGTAGTGAATATTCTTTGAAATTATATGAAAAGATCCCCATAATTTCCTGTTGGACATTGTTATCCTCACATACTTTCTATTGAACCCTGAAAATTTAAGGTATTTATTCATAATTCCCACAAATATCTACATGGGATCAATATAAACATTTCATGTAGATGGATCAAGAAGAGATCCTTTCCCTAATGTGTTCAGAGTTCACTGGGAAAAGATATTTTACCAAAAGTTCCTCTATGGTGAGATCCGAGTGACAAGACAGACATCACAGGGGTGCTCTGGGAGGCAGAGTAAATGCCAATATATTAAACACGGGACACCTTCTCCACCTTCCGTCAATGCCATCCTGACAGATTTCTCTCATCAGAGGCACAAACAAGGATGCAAAAGTCACAAAGCAGAAAAGATCATTCGTTGATAATGTCATTGTATAATTTTAAAAACTAAGAGGTCCACCTGAAAAACTGAAGAAAAAGGGGAGGGGATTCAGTAAAGTGACTAGTAATGATGACAAAGTTTATTAGGGGCATAAGAGAAGACACCATGATCTAGGGTCTTTCTAACTRGATGTTTCTGAACCTGAATTCACACTTTCAACTATGAGTCACTTCAGCAGTAAGACACAATGCAGAGTAAAACCCTAACACTCAGAGCTTTCAATAAACAGAGCCACTTGAAAGGTAAGGTAAGATTCCATCTACCAAAACGATAACATTTCTAAAACACATAGTTCTGAGCCCTAAATTGCAACTTGAAGGAATGAAATGGTTAATTCACCTTCCAAAAATAWTTAATTCCTAGAGATTAGCTTCTAAACTAGGAGACTCCACTTTGTGATATATTTGTTTACACTTGAAATTACTTCTATCACTTGTCTAGAAACATATTAGTCATATATTTTAAGTTTGACTATACGAATAACTTATTTTTGGAGGGAAAATATCTTCAAAATATTTTACAGACCCTCAGGCTTAGATGGGACTTTTAAATATCACCTGGGGAAGGTGCTCACACTAACGTAGGCCTGTAAGCTAAACATGACTGTTAACCCATCCTCTTTAGTCCTCTTGGTCACCCTCTGTGAAGACGCTATAATAATCCCCATTTGCTACACAAGGAAAATAAGGTTTTGGAAGTTTWAATTAATTTAGTAATTTTTGAGTCCAAGCTAATAATTTTTTAGTCCAAGATTGGAACCCAGGGCTGACTCCAAGACATATTCTTTTCACTAGTTACACTTTCTGGCTCAATCTATTCCCAATCCACCCCAGAGCCCAGTGCCCACTCGGGGCCTTTGGATGACAACCTTTTCTGTCTTTTCTGCTCTACCACCCCTYGTATGTGGGTAAGGAGCAAAGGCGCCTGAGGCCTTTCCCTCCTAAATATAAACAATAACAAAGTAGGGCTCTTGGTTCCAAGAATGAGTAGAAATATTGAAGACTTTAAGACCCTGCGGCCCTGAAGGACCCTTCACTTGCTTTTCCACAGCTTCCCTGAAGAAAGCACATGTATTTTGCCTCCTGCTGTTATCCATCTTTCTATGTCCAAATAATCCAAATCACAGCCCTAAACAGGAAAACACGGAGGTCCCATCCCCCGTGGAGCTTCTCCATGCCCCAGCAGAGATCATTTCTGCGACCTCTGCACGGTGGTCCCACACTGACTGCTTCCTAGGGTACCACCAGCTGCCCTCCCCTCATGCCCTACTAATCACAAAACTCTTTGAGGGATCCCAGCACATCCCGTTGACTCTGAATTATTTTTCAAAGTTGTTTTCCTCATAATTACTTAGGAAGTAGGACAGAGAATGCACTAAGATGTTTTTCTGCCCCCAGGAACCCTTTTGCTTACAGATACATAAGGGGAAAAATATCACAAAATATTTGAAAAGGCTGCCGATATCTCAGATCCAAGGCAGAAAATGTGAGTGATCATGTACTGCCTCTTATTGAAATACAAAATAAGCAGCCCAATTCCTATTCAAACTTCAAACCCAGATCAGTTATCGACTCTCCTCTGGAGCCCCGATTCCCAATTTTCCTCTCCTGTGCTCCCACTAGGGTTCACTGTTTCTCCTAYAGCCTTTATAAGTATATTTTAATCATTTGTGAATGTGGCTGTCTCTCTCAGGGCCCTGGGCAAGAGACCTCTCTGACTCATCACTCCGGTCCCTCAGAGTATGATATGATGTATCATTGCTTCCAAATAACTATTTATCAAATGATTGAGCCAAATGAATGAAAGAAAAGACTGAAAGAGAAATTTCTGAAGTGGTTCAATCAGAAAATATTCAAACTCTCTGCATCCAAGAAGAAAGGCTAGAACTTTCTGTCCCATTATTGTAATATCTTGGCATAATTCTTATTTTTTTTCTTCTTATGGTAAATATAGTACTTATTTTAACTGTTCCTAAGTGTATAATTCAGTGACGTGAAATACATTCACAATGTTATGTAATCAATCACCACTATCTATACCCCAAACTTCTTAATTCCCAACAAAAACTCAGTTCTTATCAAACAATAACCCCCTATTCACCCCTCCTCCAGCCTCTGGTAACTTYTATTTTGCATCTCCATGAATCTGCCTATTCTAGGTATCTATCTCCCAAGTGGRATCTGACAGCATTTGTTCTTCTATGTCTGCCTCCTCTGAGTCGATATAATGTCTTAAAGGTTCATCCAAGAACCCATTCCTCATCAGGCTAAGATGCCATTGTACAAGAAAGTGTTGGCTTAGGGAGACTTTACCTATTGCRAAAAAGGGAAAGCCATTGATCTGTGTGAAAACACTGAAATACCACATCAAAACAACATTCCAAAGTTAGAGGAATTTATTCCAACATGCATCAACTTTTTGGTTTCATGGAAGGTGGTAAAAACAAGATAACAAAAGTAGAAAAAGTTGGTAGTGACTAAAGAAAGTAAGACTGATTAAAAGAAATTCCATAAAATGAAATATATATGACATCTCATTTTATTCATGGTAAGAATTGGGGCTATTTTTCTTTGAGGTTGGTTTTTATCTGGATTGGTTATTTATTTATTTATTTATTTATTTATTTATTTGTATCCCTTTTCTAAAAATTGCTATTGTGTTTATTTGTTGGACACAGTAAAAGATAGTTTATACCCCAAACGTAAGAACACTTTTACCATAATACTCATAGTTTCATCTCATAAACTGAAAAAATAAAGAGACATCAGAGTACTAAAATCTTACAGTTTGGCTCATTTTATATCAAAATGATAAAAGGTTCCCATCTAGCTTTCATCAGTCTGCCATTAATGGCTGAATAAACAGGGACTTTTTATGTGTAGCACACCAAACATGAACATTTTAGAGTTTAAAAAATTTATAGTGAATATGTTTGTATATTATTAGGGCACTAGAAATATTGTGCCCGATTCCACTACCTGCAATCCCTCTTCCATTTTCATGTGAATTTTTTAACTTATTTTTTTTCCATGCTTGGGCTCAGATGTTTGGGAATTTCTAATTCTTTATAGGAAAGTGTTCAAGCTGTTAGGGCGAAGTCCCAGCCCCAGCACTCACCGACCTTGTAACTACTGCATATTACTGAACTGCTCCAAGGTAATGGTTCCAGATTTACAATGAGAACATTAGCACCTACTTCACAGGGTTATCCTGATGATTAAATGAGGTAACATAGGAAAAGTACCCAACAAGGACCCAGACACACTGAAGCCATTGTTTCTTCAAAAATAACACTTTAGGAGTAGGATGTAGCTCAGTGGCATGCACAAGGCCCTTGGTTCAATCCCTAGCACCATAATAACAATAATAATACTTTAGCTATATCATCTCCAGCAAAGTAAGCAAGTCCTGTCCTGCTATCAATAGTTCTATCCTGACTATTGATAAACAGTCAATATCATGTTCCTAAATGCAAGAATAAAACAAGTCTAAGACAAACAAACCTCACAAGTAGTCGATTAAATATATTCAAGTGTAAAGCTGACATGAGCAAGATGACTGTAATTCTCTCACCTACAAAGACWCTCTCAACTCCTAACAGACATGGTCCCAGTGCCTCATCACAAAGAAAAGGTAGAGCTGCCTGAATTCTGTTACAACTCCCTTTTTACTTATTTGGTATATTTCCAATAAACAGTCATTAGGGTCAAATACATTCCACTGTGAAGGAACTCTATGGCTCTGGCCAACTGCCATTTTGAATGATGGTCAACTAGGTATACAGTATGCAAAGATTAAATAAAGTATTAATTATGTTTTTTTAACCCAGCAGAGACATTGTCAGGAAAAATTATAGCTGTGGTTAGAGCATGCAATAGTATTATTTTAGAGAACATACACACTTATTATAGTTGCTGAGAGTATCAAAGTAAAGGACTCCAGTAAATCTAGTAATTACTGACTGATTGTGTTAATAAAATTAGCTCTTCTGGTCCAAAATCTTAACTGTTGCCTACTCTGTGCA